TCCAAATTCGGGCCTTATAAGGGCAGTGAGTTGCCTTAAACACCGGTGCATGGGGTTTTAAAGTGGCTGCTGTTGTATGTATTGCACCATGAAATATTACAGCAGATCACCTGGGTGCCAAGTGTTTCAGCAAGGCTTTAAATATCTTTAAGGGGATTTTTTTTAAAGGACGGTGGTTCTTTATTGAGGAAACACCTGTGATCCACATTTTACTGATAGGATGCTGTTTGCAGAGAGTTTGGGCAATAAAGTGCCTAACTTGATTCCTGCAAGCCTTAGTCATGTGCCATAACTCCTGTTCAGCCTTCCTTGGGGGCCATGTAGAAGAACACAGGTGATCCTTAAAGACAGATTGCAGGGTGATGAATAACTGGTGTATCCAAACAGAAAACTACCCAGATAAATGAGGTGGGAGGAATGTGACAATTTTTGGGTAGTGTCATGGAATGCTGCTTTTAACGTTTTCAATAGACCTTCTCCATGAATGTGGTGCAGTGGGCCAGACCCGTGGCTCTGTCCCTCCTTGGAGGGAAACTCGAGAGAGTCAGACATGAGGGTCCTCATGGGTAAATCACAGGGGAGGCTGCACTCTGAGCTGGTCCTCAGGGCTAGAGAAACCTTTCCAATTAATTCCCTGATACTAAGCCTGGGCTATGTGCTGGAGAGATCTAAATTTGGTGGCAGTCTGCTTTTCCTTGGATAGATACCCAGGCAGGAAGGTGTATCTAAGCTGGACTGGACAGTGGCACACAATTGGAGCAGTGCATGTAGGTGTCCTTGCCTTTGGCACACAGCAGTGCTCTCGTGTCTTCTGCAAGGTTATCAGCAGTCACATCTCTGTCTGTCTTCCTGGTTTCTCCTACGCAATAATTTTTTTTCAAGTTGAATTAGTCAAATGGTTGGTTCTCAGCACAGAGCTTTTCTGCACACTGTGATTATTTACCAGTTGTGACAGCTTTGTAGTGTTTTGTCCTGGCTGGTAGTCTGAGCAGATGCATTGTGTTGACTTCCTGAATCCAATTTGTAACAATAATGTTTTTCTCTTACTGTGTTTCTGGAACCAATTTGACTACTTTCCCTTCCCCATCTCTTTCTACCAATGCACCCCAGAGGGTGTCCTGCCCTGCACGCTACCAATTGTCTTCTGTTTGCCTACTTATGCTGCCTGAATTCCCATGTTTTGGGAATAGATTTGTGTGAGATGACTACAGGCACTAAAAGTCATTTATGAGATAGACTAGTGAGAATCTTGGGCAGCTTTTCCACAGGAGACTCATGGTAAAAAAACGAAAGCCCAAATGTAAAATTTCCTAAGCTGCTTGATTTATTTGATTCACTTCCTCTGTCTCTTCAATTTCAAAGCCACTTGGGAAGATCATTTGCACAAACATTTAAGTTCTCTTTAACTAAAGTCAACCAATATGTTTTTTTCGATGAGCTGGAGCTCATAAGAAAGATTCAAACATTAAATGTGTAAAGAAGGCAATTAGTGTTTGTACAATATATTGAAAACTAGCCTAAGGCACACTGGAAAAAGACGTGTTTTACACATGTATATTTTTCATTCAATTCCATAGTTTATATTAGATCCTGACATAGATGATGCAGAGGCTACCAAATTAATTCAAACAGTGGAAGAGGTTGTGATTGTCTATAAAAAGAGGTTTTTTTAACTGTAACGTAGTTGGTCTTACTCTGTATATTTAATCACTCAAAGGAAAAGCCTTTTCTCCTGCTGTACTATGTCAAGGAAGATTATCTGCATGTAAACAGCAAAATGAGACCTCTCTTGTGTTGCAAAGGTTGAATTTCTGTGGTTGAAAAGTTGAACATTTCTAAAAATGTACTAATGATGTCATCCTGATAAAAGGAGATACCCCTCTCACTTTGTCATGGAGTGATACTTTCCATAGGTTTTAAAGCTGTCAGTGGAGTAGGAAAAAGCTGTCATAGGAATCAGTGGAAAAGTTTTATTTTAATAACTGTTGGGGAATCCAGTTACAGAGAGCAACTGTCATGTTATCTGCATTAAAGATTGTGCATCCATTATCCGGAGTGTTTTGACCACAGTTTGATAGGAATTCAGGTCAAGAGAAGGATCATTTTCTTAAATGGGGAGAAACAGGAGTTGATACAACCATGGATATAATACCAGTTAGAAACTTGGGAATATTTTCTGAAAGTACAAGTATAGCCATTGTCTATTAAGGAAAATACTATTTTTTCTTACTGTACTAATTTAGGATTTGATTCTAATAGGACAGAGCACAAAGCAAAAGAAATTCTGAGGTTCCAATGCTGTAATGGGCACAAATGTACTTTCTGCAGTTGATTATGTTAAAGTATTTGTTGTTTATATGAATTACTGTGGTGTATATAGAGCAGAACCTTTCAGGAAGACAAACTAAAACTTTTGTTTGTTTCTGCAAGAGAATTCACTGGATTGAAAGTCCATATGGGATCTTGGATGCAGGAGTACAACAACTTGCCTTAACATGTAGAAGAGAGCATATGGTTTTGGTAATAGGTTAATAAGAGCAATTAACCTTATAGTGCACTCATTTGCTGGTCTCAGTTGTTTATAAACTAGGTAATAAAAATATTTTAACATCCTATAGCTTTATGGGAGATTAGTGAAATCAGGCTGTGTTTTTGAACTTTAAATGCCAACACTACTCAGGTGATAGTGTAAGTGATGGAAACATAAAATTAGCAGAGAATAAAAGATTCAGAGTACTCTGTGGTGTGTCTAACCAAGGGATATTGCAAATGTCTAAATACATAGAATACTGTGGAGAAATACAAACATGTGTTAAAGGTTTTCATTAGAAGAGGGACTGTTTTCACAGGATGCAGTCACAGATCTGTCATTCAGCTTGTTCTTGTCACCTTGCAAAGACTATCATGTAAAGTGTTCCCAGGCTTAATTAACATAAAAAAAGAATTCTAAACTTACCTTCTTCTTCTTGAGGATGAACCTCATAATGGAAAAGGTTAAAAGAACAGCGAGCACTGTCTTTGGGTTTTTGTTTGTTTTGAAGGACTTCTAGAAGTTCAGTCACTTCCTGCAGAAGTCCCAGTTTCTCAGTCAGGAGCTGCTGCGTTTGCCTGGCAAACAGAGAAAGTGGGAACAAATGAGCAGGTTGTTGTTTGCCCCACAAATTGCACCTGCAAGAAAAGCCCTTTTTATTTCATCCTCTGTGGCCCCTCGCATTACAGGTGGTGTCATTTTGGCAGTGGTTTTTGTCCGCTTGGGCACCTTGCTGTGAAGGCAAAGTGACACCAAGGGTTGGATGGTCTTTGGTTTCTAGGCTGGTGGTGATGGGAGAAGGATGGTTTCCCTATAATAATAATAATTTCTTTTCCATTCTGTAAGTTTTGTCAGTCAGCTTTTTGGTCTCCCGCTTTTGTGCAATATTTGTTTTGGAAACTTCTGCCTGTTTATCGACAGTGTTCCAAAAGATACCTCTAAATCAGCTCATTTTTAGATTTTATTTGAGCATGTAAAAGATGATATATTGTAATTATTTGTCTGTCCTGGTTTACTGTTATTTGTCTGATTTTTACCTTATATGTTGGCTACAGACTATTGTATTAAGCTTAGTTGGTGATAACCCTAATGAGCTGTTGCTGCTTTTTCTTTATCCTGAGTTTGAACATCAAGACAGTATTTTTTTTCTTGAAGTTTTCTTCAGAGGCTTCCATGGAACCTTTCTGTGCAAATTTGTGGTCTCATTTTTTTCTCTTTCATTGAATTGACTGAACAATGTACTAGCTGGTGCAGCATTCAGCAAAGATGAGGACTCTTTTGCTTTATTAGACTTCACAGTGTTTAAACAATACTAATTCTCATACCCAGCTGGCTTTTCAATTGATTTCTGTGCTCTCTATTGCTGTGTAAAACAAACTGGAACATTAATGGCATCTTGCATGCTACCCTCTGGAGACTTATTTTTCTTTAGAGAAAAAATCAATTAAGTGTGAAAGTTTCTGGGCTTCTCCTTGTATTTTTTATTCTTTCATTTTAAATTCTATTTTAGTGTGCTGTCAGATTTTGTACATGTTAAGATGCTAATTTTCAAGCATGTAATTTTAAAAGAAGTCTTCATTTTATGGTGGGATTTGCTGGTTTGCTCATTTGTTTATAGAAATAAATGTCTCTTTCTTCTTCTAAAATAGAATATACCAGCTTGAAAAATATGTTCAAGATGTATGTAAATGTGCTATTTTAGCCCAGCTAAAATTTTGCATATTTAAAATGTGTTTGCTAAACAGACAAAGAACATTTGCAGATGTTAGCCATTTGTTTTGCCCCCTTGCTTTGAAGAGTATTGAAGTATTCCTTGTGAGAGAAACCATTTTTCTCTCCTGTAAACATAAATATTTAAGTCACACCTTTAGGCAAACCCAAGCCTTAAATATATGCTCCTCAAGAATGAATTGTCTGCTCTGAAACATCCATCTGTGATGGGCTCCAGCCATTGCTGAGGTGACCATTGTAGCACAAGTTTCTCTTTCCAGTCCTTCAGAGGCTGCTTAATTTTTTATAAATTTCAGTTCATTGCGAAATATCAACTTTCTGAAACCAAAATTTGATTCCTTGTCCACTCCACCTCCCCAAATAATCAGGTAGCCCTGCAACTGGGATAAGGATTTGGGGTGCTCAGTTGTTGTTGTGGGTCAAATGAGGGCAGTGACCTCTCATAAAGGACTGGCCAAAGCTGGGGAGTGGGGCTTGGTATTTAACATCAAGGAATGTGTGCTTTCTGAGGAAAACTTATAACATTCTTGGCTATGATATCTTCCTAAACCTTTCACTATTTGCACAGAAGCCAGGTGGCCTTGTACAAAATGTGTGCCAGTATCTGTGCCACAAAACTCCATGCAGTGCATACCAAGTCACTTGGAAGCATTGTAGGGAACATTTTCTGAATAAAGAATGTTTTGCTATCACAATATTTCATTCAAGCAAATTTATTTTTTTTTCTAATTTTCTGCAGCTGGTCTGAAAACCCAGGAGAATGGAAGTTTCAAAAGGCAAGACAAACGTGGCTTCTCCTGCACATGTATGATAAAGAGAAGGTTTGTATTAATGCTGCTTTTCTTGAGAACAAATATGATATAGTGTTATACATTAGTTATAGCTATTCTTTATTAACCAAAACTTGCTAGTACTAACCATGCACTTGTCTAATAATTTTTTAATAATTTATAAATTACTTTGTTTTTAACCAAGATGCTGAGTCATTTTAATTGCTTGTCATTGATATTTTTACTTTGTTGGTAATCATTCTCCTGTGTATGCTAGATTTTTATATTTGATGTATGTCAAGCATAAATAGGGCAGATTCATGTTTTATTTAAACCTAGAGTTTGCTGAGAATTTGAGTCATATCCTTAGTTTGAGTTTCCTAATGTGGAACCCAATACTGTAAACCATGATTCTGATATTGCTTCAGATATCTCTGGCTCCATAGAAGATGTACAGTCTTATTGCCAAGATGTTAAAATAGCTTCCTCATTAAAATATAAGTGAAACCTGATGTTGATTGTGCAAAACATAAAGTATAACCAGAAGCCAGGATTGCATCCATACTGAAATCCATTCATTTCATAACTGCAAAAACAACATAAATTGAATTTCCAATAAGCCTGACCATCGTGGTATCGAGTGGGAGTTTCAGGTCATTTATTTTGTTGCGTAATAGAACAAACATCTGCCTATTTGCACAGTGCCTTATTTATTGATTCATTTCATTGACACTCATTTAGGTTTTGCTGATGGTTTTGTGTGCACTTGAACATTTATTCATACCAATCTTCCTGACCCAAATTACTCAGTGGCTCTTAAGCCAATCACCTGACATAGGGTGTTACCTTTCCGGTTAAAAATACTTTTAGAGACCCAGATAATTAAAAGCAGAGTTTCATGAAGGCAAAAATGTTCACAGGGTGTAAATACATTAAAAAAGATGAGTTGCAGAATACAAATTTGATGGTGGTCTCAAGGTTGTTTGCTCTGTCTTCAGTTTTTAAGTTTCCCCTTTAAAAACCTTTATCAACCTTCCAAAATCAACATATGCTCTTCAAAGCTACCTAGAAATTGTTTGGCAGGCAGAACAATGTTTTTACTTTTTTACCTGTTTACCTTGGGGTTTGTGTTGAATTACACTGGGACATAATGAACCTAAAGTAGCGTTTGTTTTATGTATCAAAACACAGCTTAACCCCTTATTTCTCAACACTGAAATGAAACTTCCTTTTGCTTTTTAATCTGCTGAAAGTGCTGAGATTTATTTAAATTCACATATTTTGTGGTTTAATAATCAGAGAAGACTGAATATGAGCTTTAGAGAATGATGAACATCTGCATCCAGATTCATTTAAGTTAGTAGAACTCTTCAAGTGCTTATAATTAAGCATATGATGAAGTCTCTTCCTTCAGGACCATAGGGAGGGCACACCCAGCTTCTTTTGAATATTTTTTATATCCAAATTCAACTTCCTGTCCATTGCAGAATGAAATCTGTTGGTAATCCAAGCATGACTAAAGTACAAAAAGAGACATAAGACATAAGTTTCTTTCCTTCCTAAGCCATGTCTTTGATCTCATGATGTCACTTGGATGCCCTCTGAAAAGCCATGCAAAGCACTGAGTTGAGTTTTCTGCACTGCTATGCCTCTTTCTGTAAGAAATAATTTGAGATTTTCAAGTTGTTTGCTACATGAAGGGTTTTTTTAAGTCCCTTTAAAATCCATCTGGTGGTTGGCTGACAGCTCCCAAGCCGAGCCTGTGTACCTATGGTGTGTATACTTCTCCAGGATCCAGCATAAAACAAACACTGGGTCATTTGTTGATATTTGTCATCTGGCACAGCATTTTTAGGAAGTTATAGATCAGCTGTATTCAGCTTTGGGGCTGCAAGGCCTGGAGCTGAAGCTTCCTTGGAAGGCAACCCAAAAGGCAGCGTGGTGGCAGTGAGCTGAGGTCCTCTGTGCTGGGATCTGTGTTTGCTTTGCAAAATGCGTGGGGATCTGCAAGTCTCTGAGTCTGAAAACTTGTGAGTTGCATAGTTTAATTGTAAAGTGATAACTGTTCTTTTCCTGCTGCTCTTTTGTAGCGTTTCCCTCCTTTTCCCGATGAGAGGAATTATTTCACGTCGGGATATTTCCGTTTTAGTCAGCTCCAGTTAGAACAGAGGCAAGATTAGTGTGTGAGAGAGAAAAAGAAACGAGGAAAGGGTCAAAATGGTTTAACAAAAGAATAATAATAAAATCCCATAAGCATCACTTCCACTTCCAGAGCCGTGGTGGGAGATCTTGATCTCCAATTTCACACAAGTCTAAAACTTAGATCTTAGAAGAAGGATTGTGTTCCTTCTTGGAAAACCTCGCCAAGACCCCTGAAATTGCCGCTTTTGTAATACTGTATTTGAAGAATTAAAATTTGGATTTCGTTAAGTTTTTGCTGGCACTTTGTGTGTTCCAGTCCTTGCTATGGCTCTACTGTATAAGTCAGGAGGAAACATGACTTACCTTGCCTACAGGGTGCTGCATTGTGAGCTCCTGTTGAAATAAACCTCAGAGCTGTGTTAAAGAAAAATAATCAGCTGCATGTCAGCCTGTGCAGTTTGTATTTCTAAGTTTAGAGTAGGTTTTCAATTGCCCCTTCAAGCATTTTGCTTAAATGATATAATAATAACTGTAGTTCCACGGGTATGTCTATGCCATGAGGGCTGAGAACAAGAGTTGTAAATTACAGAGATAATTTAGCCAAGGTTTGAAACATGGAAATGTTGCTGAGCTTTAAAAGCTCAGTACTGAGTGCATTAAAGGAGCACTGTCACACTGAAATTGTTTGCATCTGAATGGTTTGTCTGTTATTAGTACCAGCTTAGTGTGAGTAAAAACTTTCAAAAATTTAGACATTTTTCATTATGTTTAAACATGTTTGATTTGTGTATTATAACAACACTTCATATATCATCCATTTCAGTGTTAGTCACCGTAAAATTAATATTTTTTGTAGCTATGTTGTTTCTTTAATGCAAGAGTGTTTGTGTGAAGAATTAGAAGGTTTTCTGTAGTGTACAAGTTATGAGGCTGAATGCAGACTTCGGTTTTGATTTATTGCTTTGTAATATGCCTGATTGATGAAGGCAGTGTTGGAATATTCTTTCTTCCTCTTCTTTTGGAGTGATAGAAGTTTTAGTGATCAAAGTTCTGCTGCCAAATGTCGATGGAGAAATAGGTTGTAAATTAAGTGTCTGTTGAAGCTCTGTCTTCTCTGAAATGTTGATACTTTGCAGGATTGAAACCGCCCTCGAATAATTAGTCTCCAATCCTTTAAATACTTACGTATGTGTTTGACTTGACTCATGTCAAGTTATATGTGTAAAGTTAAACATGGAGAAAAATATTTGCAGGATGAGGTAATTTTAACATCCCCTGATTCACAGCAAAATATATTCTGTTATTGGCTGAAACCTGTTCCACAGATACACAACATGAAGTCAAGATATGCTTCAAGATAAGTCTGTTCACCTATTATTTTGGTTTGAAATACTGAATAAATAATTCCAAAGTCTTTGCAAAGTTATTGCCAAGATTAAGGTAATGATCATTTAAACTGTATGTTCTACCAGATAAGCTAAAATTTAATCTATGACTGGTTAATTAGAAAGGGAGGGAAAGGGGGATAACACAACTGTAGATGACTAAAGTGCTTTTAATGTTGGACATGTTGGTTCAGCCTATCAGTTTTAGTCAGCGTGATTTTGAAATTATTTCCATATGTCTAATTTCAATTTGTTTTTCAAATTAAGTTCTATTCCTTTGTATAAGCATTCTGTCAAAGTGCATGATGCTGGGTGGTATCTCAAGTCAGCAAACAATTTTTGGGTAGGGACGAGGGTAATTCTGGCAAAATTCTTTCTTCAGGCACATTCATGCAATTCTCACCAAATTTAGCAAGATTCACATACATGTTTTCCAAAAGGAGGATTTGGCCAGTGTGTTTTGTTTTTTTCTTGCACCAACCCTCACAGCCTTGAGCTCCCTGTCAGGGAGTGTTTGCGTTTGCTGCTCAGCATTTCCACATCTGCTTAGCATTTCCTCTCAGATGCTCTGCCCATCCGAGCACATGACAGTCATCTCACCACGGTCCATCCCTCCTGGCAGCCTGTACCTTTCAAACATTTCCACTTGGAGTTGGGCATTGGCAAACACCAAAGCCTGTGCCCGTCTCCTGATTGCCTTTCAGGTGATGCTGTGACATGATTGCGAATGAGTATCGAGGGGGAAGAAAATAAATCAGATTTTTCTTTCCTTATTTTTTTGTTTGTTTGTTTGTTTGTTTGCTTTCTTTAAAGGTTCCAGACAAGTATTTCACCATTTTACTGGATTATCTGCAAGGCCTTCAGGGCGGGGCAAGAGACAAAACTGTGGAGAAAGCTGAAGCTTTTATGAAGGAATTTGATGGTTCTGATGGAGAAGACCCAAACGTGCTGGAGAAGTGTGAGCGCGTACGACAAGTTCTGCAACTGCTGTCCTGAGAGTATTTTTGTGTCTTAATGCTTGTCTGGTGGAGAGGAGGAGAGGATGTCATATACAGAGGCTATAACTGAGTTGTAAAGTCATCATTTTCTAAAAGTAATCCTAAGTTTTTTACTCATAATTTTTTGCAATTGCAAATATTTATCATGTTTTGAGGCGATGAAATAAAAATAACATATGTGGTCCATAGACTTGCTATTGATCTTACTGCACGTCTTTAACAAATAAACCTCTCTCCCTCTCATTAGTTTTTCTCCATCTGCCCCTGTAATTACTGTTAAATAAGAGGAGCTTTACAGTTCTTAATAAGAAGAGCAAAGGAACCAACAAAAAGCCTGGAGGGTCTTTTACAATGGCAGCTTTTAAAATGAGTGTACAGTACAGTGCGTGCTCAGCCAGCTGTAATCTATCACTTTCAGCTTCAGAAGGATGTCACTTGGATTTGGGAAAGATCATTTTCAGTCTGTTGAACATGGATTGTATAACACAGTTGCTTATTAGTACTTCACACGGTGATCTGGAGATACCATCAGCTTTGTTAGTTTTCCTTTTATATTTTAAAGTTTTCAAATGCATTAGGGCAATTTTTTAGGTATTTAGATAATGCACAGATGGGAACAGATCAAATCCTTGCTTATATGTGGTGAAATCATCAGATTGTACCTAAACTTACCCTACAACGAGAAGTTCTGTGCTGTATCTGGCCTGACAGTGCTACATTTTCATCTTTCTCTGGTAATTGGCATCCAAAAGAGTTAATTCCTCTTCGTTCATTTTGGTGTAGGACATTTGTCTCCTATGAACATGCTGAAAATGAGGCTTTCAAGTGAAAACCAAGGACATTAATTACTCAGAAGTTGGATGATTGGTTTATTTAATAACACTGGTATTCAGACAGAGTTCTTGACCTGATTCTTTAATGTTTCTGCAAACATTGTTCATACTTTACTAATAACAACTATATGAAATGTGTAGTGTTTTAGAAGAGTGTCTTTGGGAATTACAGCTTTAATTTGGATGGGTGAAGGAGGGGAGGATCTACAGATATTCAGGCCTGATTTTTCAATAAGAAGCATTTGAGTGGATTTGACAGCCTTCACAGCCATGGATTAATACAAATCTTTAAAAGTACGAAATATATTACTAATAACAAATAACTTATGCTTTCTGACTTCTTGAAGACGATGTTTGCAGTCCAAAAATACTAGAGACCAGCATGCCCTGCTCTAGCACAGTAACTGGGATGGAGTTTGGCACAACTTGGAGCGGGGCAGAATTGAGCAGCAGTGTCCAGGTTCTCCAGTGAGCTGCTGATGGTTCCTCGGCAGCTCAGGAGCTGTGGCAATACCACAGGGCAGCAGTTGGGTGAGGGCTGCAGAGGAGGCAGAGCCAAAGCCTTTCTGAGGCCCAAAGCTTCACAACACTGATCTTCCAGTGTGAAAGCTGGTAAAAAGTATCTGCAGTAAAAAGAAGCGATCCTGACATTTAGTGAACTCATAAAGATCATTGGATCAAGTATTTTGCATGTGAGAATATGCAGCTGGGAAAAGCTGCTGTCACTCCAAGCAGAAGCTGGTACTTTTTTCTTTCCGCTAGGAAAAATAGGAATTTCTCATGGATGAAGTTTTCAAAGTGTCCATTTGTGAGTTTTTCATTGCACTTTGTATGTCAGAGAAGAATTTTTGTTCTCTCTCAAGATAATTGAGCATTGCCACTTTTGATTTCTCTGTCACTCAAAACTGTGGGTCCTCATTGTGCACTTAACATACTTTGCAACTTAAAAGCACAAGCACATTGCAAATGCACTTCGGAATAGACTTGTAATAAAAAAGATGATAAAGGTAAGATCTGAGCAAAAAAAGTGTGAACCTTATATGATTTTGACAGCTTTGTCAAAATTTGCCTTTCTTGGACCTTGATTCTGACCATGTGCAAGTTCTGACAAATCTGTGAGAAGAGACGCTTTGTGGATCAAGAATGTCATGTTTCTTTTTATATCAGTTAATATTAAAAGCACACAAGACCTGCCAATCTGGAGTCCATGTGAACAGCAGTATTTGGAAAAGAACAGTTAGAGCCTCTCACCGGCACAGTAATAAACCTCTGGGAGTAAAGTCCTGCTCTGATCTCCTCTTCCTCAACTGCTGTTTCAGCTCTCCCTTCGCTCCTACCTATTGCTGGGTGTTTGGCCTCTGCTTCTTGCAGTTATGGAAAATTCAGAAGCTACAAATGAAGGTAATTGTTGCTGTGGTTGTGTTTGGCAGAGAAAGCAAAGCATGAGCTTTCTGCCTCATTCCTCTTGCTGTAGGTGCTGTTCAAAGGATGGAGGGGTCTTGAAATTTGATAAAAGGCTTGTCAAAATTCTGCTTGGTGGTGTTGCACGTGTCTTGTGTTTCCAAGCTCAATACGAAAAAATCTAAGAGTTGTCTTATACTTGATGCTGTAGTGTAAATAGGAAAGGATACTTTAATTGCATTTCACTTTTTTACTTTTCACCTTTTCTTAAGGAATCTCTCACTGGTTGGCAAACAAGTCACCTTCAGAACAGCCATGAAGTGCAAAAGCACACACGCTTTTGGGAGACATGTATTTACTGAATTTCTGTAGCTGGTTGAAGCTGTATGGGAAGATACAATCTGGCACTTTATTCACTGTGTTTTGTCATTTGGTCATGTAGAATTTTCAAATCTCTGCCTCACTTGTAGCTTAGGCAATCCTGTGGGTACAGATAGAACCAAATCACGTCTCTGCCTCTGTTTGAATCAGTTTGCTGTGTTAAGAAAAAATTGCATCCAAGGCTAGAAGTAACAGTGTGTGCAGAATGACAAATTACATCTCCATCTGCCTGTGCTAATCGTCTTCTAGTTGAGTTAATCTGTATTGTGGAGCTCTGTTTAGCAGAATGCGTGTCCTAAGAGAATGCTGAAGTCAGGATTTCTAGGCAAAATAAAGGAACATTAATTACTTAGAATTGCTTAAAGCTGGAACTGTGCCTCTAATGGAAGTACTAATTACTCAGAATTTGACAGTGTAAAAAGTTCCCTTTGATTTGGCTGATCCTTGCTATGGGTTGTGTGTCTATTTGGTTCTTTGCTGTCTGCCCACAGTTTTAATTTGTTATCACCATTGTAAAATAACTGGGTAAATGAACTCTCTGTTCCTATTTGGAAAGAGTGTCTCACAGTTGCTGAATGTGTAGTTTATTTCCTTATTTCCTCTCACTGGAGAATTGCTCTGCTGTGTTTCTCTTGATTTTAAAGCAAGGTGACTATTGACTCATCTCCCATCATTTCAAACAGCTTAGAAATTCACATCTTTGGGTTGAGCTTGGGGGTTTTGTTTTTGTTGTGTGGGGTTTTTTAAACTTTGCCACTGAATAAGACAAAATAACAAACATTAAAATCTAATCACATTTCTGCAAATCAGTGTCAGAAACAACAATCATAAAAAGAGATTTAAGTTGCAAAGTCAAGCACTCAGAAAATGAGAAAATGTAAGAATGGAAGTTGGTTGTGTAATTTAAATTTTACTCCTTCACACATATGTAGTATGAAGGAACTTCTTAATTATGTCATCAGGGCTGTGTTTTCCTTTGTGTGTAACTGATAAGTCATTTATTCAGTGTTTTTTCCTCACAGTTCTGCTGCTGTTCTTATTTTCAAAATTTAGGTCTATGAAGCAGTACTGAAACCAGAGAAGTAACTTTGCTGTTGGGCTTTGATCCTGCACAGAAGAAATAAGTAGGAACTTTCCTATTCCTTTGGTGTAGGAACTAGTCATAGACATTTCATCACAAATGTTCCCTTTAAAACATGTTTTAATGTTCTGATTCATTTACAGTCAAAATATTGAATTGATGTTACTTAATTTAAATCCAGTTTTGTTGACATAAAACTTTCCAGTGGCTTATTCTGGTTTAGCCCTTGGTTTCCTTTTATGTCTTCCTTTCTGTACAGCTGAATGAGCTCGTTATTTCTGTCGCTGCAAATAGGAATATTAGTTGTTTACAGTGATTCCAGTCATACAAGGACACAATTAAATGTCCTTGCCTTTGCAGGACAAGTTCATTTTAGCAGTGATTTATAATTATATTCTATTTTCAATTCTTCACAAGAACATACATAGTCAACAACTTAATGTGCTTTAAAATAGTAATTTTTTAAAAATATGGTTTTTTCCCTTACAAGGAGCAGGGAATAGCAAACTGAATGAAACTAATGAGTAACTGGTGGGGGAAGGGCAAAGCAAAACAGTGGTTTATCTTTCTTTGTCAAAACAAAGCTGAATAAGAAGCTTGTGCTACTAAGAAACTTTAACTGCTGTTACAGACACAGAGGGAGGGCCCTTTGGGTACAGAGGAACACTCATACAGCTGCTCTTACTCATTTTTTTTCCCCTACATGCAGAAAATTTTTGGCATTCCACAACAAAACCCACGAAAACACCTACGTCAAAAAGTTAAATAGGTTTCAAAATCAAATACTTAAAGGTCAACAAATGTCACATGTATATAAATGGCCAGAAGAATTAAAATTCTAACTCACTATGCCTCCTGCCTGGACAGTGAATGAAGGGGGGGATTGTGTTAGAGGCAAACAAGCAAAAACCCCTAAATTATGTGAGCACATAGTTAAAATTACCAGTTACCCTTCTATTCATAGGAAGGTGGAGTTACATTCCCTATTAATTTTTGTTGTTCAGATTTTTTAATGAAGATTTGCTGCTAATTGAAATTTCACACAGCCTTTTGGTGTGACAACTTACATCTATTCTCCTCATGGTCCCACGTGTATTTTATGAAATTGTAAGCCACGGGACACGGGATCTGTCACTCTTATTTGCTTATAAATAGCCAGACCAGCTACAGCACTGTGAAAATCATCATTTGCTTCTGAGCTCCTTTGGACCCAATGAATGTTGGCGCTGTGTTTCCCTGTACTGGTCTAGAGGTACAACAGGCTTTGGCAGCATCCTTTGTATCAGCCAGGCTTGCTTAAGCTCCATGAAATTGCCCAAGTCTGGTCCAGTGATGCTGCTGATGGAGGTTGCCAAGTGAGCAGTGACGTGTGTCTGTGGAGCACTGGGAGCAGGGAGGCTGCAGGGTCTCAGCTGCTCAGGATCTCAGGATGCTCAGCCCATGGCTTGCTGCTTGTTTTCAGTCTTGGGCTGCTGAGAGTTGTCACTATTTTGTTTGTCTGCTTTCTGTGGGCTTAACTGGACTAAAAGAACCGATGTTCTCAAACTAAATGTTTTAAAGCTATTTGGACATATTGAAAACTTAAGCTACAGTGATGGTGTTTGTCTGGTAGCATAGATACGTGTAAACAGACTTTATGGATCTCACAAAGACAGGACCCTTTATTAGAAGCAGAAGCTCTTGCAGGATCCTGGAAAGGACTGATCTGCACCCTGATTTACCTTGTTAAATAGGACTGGTGTTTCCGTGAGCTGTCACAAATATATGCTCTCAGATAGGCACGACAACAGGCAGCCAAGGAACCATGTATGGGCATCAACCATGCCAGGGGGGCAGGGATGACAGTGAGGAATGTAACCTCCTGAAGTTGCCTGGTTAAGGCAAAATGCCACCTGGCACAAATCCTGGCTGCCATAAGGTTAAAAATAACAAATAGCATCCCTATTACATAAGGAAATCTTTTGTCCTTGTTTAATGGAGCTGGAAAGAATAAATGTGAAGTCCTACTTGTGGTTAGTGCTCAGGGCTAAGCCAGCTGCAAATACCAGGGCTGATTGTAAGCCAGGCCCTGTGTATGAGCTGCTGGCATTAAACAGGTGAAATCTGGGTGAAATTCCAGTGTCTAAGTGTGCTCAGCAGGAGCCTCAAACCAGTTCACTGGTGACATCTCAGTGCCAGGTCTTAAGGTCTTAAGGCCCCCTTTTATGATGATTGCATTACTGTGACATAAATACAGAGGATCCTTGTGTTCAGAGCAGCCTGTGGACCCTCTGGAGGCTGCAGCCCATGGACCACCTTCTGCTGCTTATTGCAATAAAATGGATAATGGAGAAGCTGTGGAAGTTATTGTGGAAGAACTTGACCCCAGAAGTGGGATCATTTTCACCCCACCTCACCTGCCCACAGATCACTTCCAGTCCCAGGAAGGGAACACCTGCTTTGGTTTCAGTTAAAGAATTAACCTGAAGCGATAGCAATGCTCTTTCCTTTGTGTTCTACTACCTTCTCCTCCTGATCCCTCAGCATGAGACGCTGTCTGGGATGAACCTGCAGCCTGAGTCCAAGCCAAATTCTCCCATTTCATTGGCAGCTTTGAGGACTTCCAAAGGCAATGCTTATTTCCACTTTGACTGCACAGCTCTGCCTGTGCCAATCATCTCTTTGGCTACAATCCCTTTCAGGTCAGTACAGCTGTTACTTGGTAACCCTTACCAAAAATTTTTGGAAGCTTCCAGAGCTTGCTGTAAGCAGGAGCATTCATCAGCAGATGGTCCTCACATTTCCCTTTTAGGTCCTCAGCTGTACCCACACCATCTCCATGCACCCAGCTGTGCTTCCAATATCCATCTTTTTGTGAAAAGGTGCCCTTCTGATGCTTACCACTTCGGCTGGGATGGCAGAAGGCATTGGGGATTGAGAGATCTTGATATTGTAGTTATAAGAGTGGGATTATCCTTAAAATTTACCCCAAATTCCTTCAAGATGGCTCTGAGTTTCCATCCCATCAGCTGTTCCCTAGATAGATGTCCCACCGAGCAAATTCAGACCACATGGACATGCTTTTGTTTGGAAGAGACAATGCCAGTCTGAGCCTCATCCCAGACTGCATGTCTTGTAGAAACTGGGGGAGATGGCAGAAATTATTTAAACATTTTTAAAGTGCCTTAGGTGACTGAAAAGAAACCTTCAAATGGAAGGTCATAGTGCCCTGATAATGCCTGTGAGGCTCTGCCTCTTGTTGAGAGAGTGACACATGTTGGTGCTTTCCAGCATCCAGTCCATCCATTTACCCACCCTGGCTCCTTGACAGAGGTTCCAGACAGTATCACCCTCAGGAGGGTCATTCTCTAGGCTGTTCCTTTGTGTAAATGGCCAAATTACAGGGTTGCTCATGAGCCCACTCCATCCCTGTACAGGTGGTCTCAGCCATATGAAGGGTGAACACAGCAAAGGAACAGTCACAGGGAGATGCTGCTATTAGAAATTATGATTTCCTCATACAGTTTGTAGAGTACAGACACCTCAGTCAGAACTTGGACCTTTGTCAGATATTTTTATTATCGAAAAGAAGAAAACAGTTGGGATCATTTTAATTTGCAGTGCTTTTAACACGCTGTTTAATCTCAGAGATGGACATTCTGCAGTGAGGGGATGGTTGCATTATGAGT